CAAAGTAAATTATTAATTTAAATAAATTTCTTTTTGAAAGAAAAACGCGATAGGAGATTCTAAAATAAACTAATAAAGAATAGATATTAAAGAATGTCTGATGAAGATTAGATATTCTTCTAGATATCGGAAAAAGTTTGCTTTAAACGGAATTTAAAATTGTTCTATTATTATTTCATGATAAATCAAATCCTTTATAATGCTGGAAAAAAGAGTTTGTCCATTTTTTATTGGGTTTTTATTTACAAAAAAAAAATTGCAAGATGTTTCTTCCATCGGAATATATTATTCTCATTTATATGCCGTATTTAAATAAAACACTTTGTAAACTTGCTTACGTTTGAGTCGGGTATGTGTCGACCCCATCCAATCGCGACACACTCCTCCGTGTATTTCTGGAATATATCCGTGATATACACCGGCGGAAGCGTAACGTATTGGACGTACGCGTTTCTGTAAAGAGGTCTCTTCAGCTGTAAAAGCAGGGCATGTATGATAGTGCAAGGCCACTCACAGTGATTACAAGGTTTGCTCTCTTTATTATCGACACAAAATTATATACACGGCATAAACAGTCACCCTGAACAATCCAATATCGTTTCGCATGTCCGAGAATCGAAACTCTGCGTGCGGGAATGTCTTGTCTACCAATTCCATCTGTATGGAACCCCAACTTGGTAAATACACGTAGGTCGAGCCGGCTATCACATAGAAATGGCGTGGATTCTCCGCTGCCCACGTGCCGTCGAGCAACCGTCTTTAAACAACGACGAGTTAATTATACACCTTGGTTTTTTTTTTACCTAAACAACGGAGCGATGTGAGGAAAAGTGGAACGCAATCAGACGTGAAACGTAATTGACAGAACACTTTTCTTATTAAACAATATCAATTGGGTTTAATGATTTTACTTTGTATGTGTTGAATATATAACTAAAAAGAAAATACTAAGAATATATGTAATATTCACGAAATTATGAAATTTTTTTTAAAACAACGTTTCTTTTTTAAAGAAGATTAATACTGTCTTTTAAGACAATATGATAAACATAATTTCTCTTTTTTTTTGTAAGCGAAGTATGAAGAGACAAAATCTGCATTAATTTTGTATAACAAATAAATTAGAAAATTAAATTTTCGATAAAATTAAAGACAAATGAATAACGAACGAATTAAGTGTTAAATTATTTTTTACGAATCTATTTTTGTATCATCTAAAGAAAGATGGAATATAATTAAAATTTATTGCATAAAATTGGTGTTTGATTACGGAAGAGAAGCGATACCGGAAATATATTTATTGAAGTCATGTTTCAATGTAATTATTAACTCTCTTCCAATTTGTCTCGTTCCCTTTAAATCACTCGTTCTTTTAATATTTTATGTAGCTGTCGTATAAACGAACGTACTGATTGCGCCCCAATTTCCTCTACGTACAATCACGAGCGGCCGAGCTGACACGTAAAACAGAAACTACGTTCACGCGAGTAGTAGTACATCTCATCGCTAGTACACAGCTAATCGATACACAGATAGATACCGCGACAGATATCATTGCCTTAGGATCTAGCGCCGCTAACCTTCTCGTTACTCGTGAAATATATACGCTAGACAGCACATCACTACTCACAGTCAAAAACAAATAAGATATACATACAATTAGAGAGGATGAACGGGACGGAAGGGACAAGAGGGCAAAATTCGCTTTATAATTGATACGCCAGTTGTCAACAGGCAGTTATTCTTATACCTGATCGCTGACACCGTTTGATTCACCTTCCTATCCTATTCACCCAGTTGTTGCTGTATAGTTGAAAGAAGGGTTGCATTGAGTAGCGAAAATATAAGTCCGAATGTTCCGCGTATATTTCACATACGCGATATAAATTACCTACCCAAATACATTTAGGACTTATTACATCTCTCTGTAATATTTATAATTAATGAATATTTCATAGAGAATGTGTAGATATAAATATCTCTTACAGAGAGACTCAATCTCCCGAAATATATATATTACATATTTTCAAACTAGATTTACTGGAAATTTAAATCTGCCGACCTGTTCGGTTAATTTCTCACAAATGGAAGCGATTTACATCTTACAAGACACGTCATTACATCAAACACAAGCCTTATGCTTTTTCTCGTGTGAACACGTTACATACATCTCTGCAGTAGCAAGGAGGTTAAACACGGCCACTAATACCTCATGTAATGTGGTGTAATCCTAAAATGTCTTACCAGGGCATTTGGTTTGGTTTACAAATAGATATACAATAATTATATTCCCGAGATTATACCGGGATGTAATTTATATTTTAGCCGACAAAGGATTTTTTCCCTCCGTGATCTTTTTTACTTCGCGAAACTTACTTTAAATCTAAAGAGATTTAGATCACATAGACAGCTCCGTGTTTAAGGATTAATTATAAGAAAAAATGAGAAGATTAATTCTCTCAGCTTCTTGAAAAGTTAATAAGTGAAAGCGAAAGATCGTTTAATCTATCTAAAGAAAATTTAACAATATGAAAATATCTTATATGTTCTAAAAGCAAGCGACAAAAATGTGTGACGATAAAAACGCTAAAAAGACATTAAAAAGAAATTAAGTTCGTTTAATATTTTTTTGTTAACAAAAAAAAATCAATTTAAATCTTTAAGAAAAAGTAATTTAAGAATAGTGTCTGAGAAAAGTTATTTAAATTTTTTCGCGTTTTCAGGGAGCTTAAAATTTATCTGAAGCTTAAGTCATTTTGTACAGCTTAAAAGGAATAAATGCTTTGTATGTTCACTTCTTTCAAAGTTCTTTCGAAATTGCAATTATAAAGTGATTCATAAGAATTAAAACAAAATAGCAATTTAAATATAAAATTCCAGTATATATATTACATATTACAAAACGTATATACTTTATCTAGATTTAGAAATTTTCATATAAGGCATTTTTGCGTGAAAGAAAGTGACTTTATCAAAATTAATATTATTACAACAACGCAAATGTACATAAATTTACTCCAATCCGTGTGGTAAATGTATCACAGAAAAGCATGAAAAGATAAATTCGCTGTACGATGTGGCAGTGTTTCCTAATCATAATTGGCCGCGAAGGCCTTTAAAACGAATAACTTTTATATACACACATCAACTCTTACACGTTATCAGCAAGTAAGCAAGAGATCAACATCTTAATAGCACTAAATGAAAAAGATCACAGTTAACATTAACACAGAATCAAGCTTAAAGAGTGTCGTGCGTTGCTAACACCTTCGGAGAGTCCACGTGTTCTATTCAGACAATGTCACGTGAAATATTCTCGCTCATTTTTCACCCCATTTTCGAAAGCTATCTTAATTCCGGGATGTAAATTCAGGGAGGGATCCCATCTTTGTTCAAACATCCCAGGAATGAAGATTGCGTGTTAGGGAGATGGGGCAACAAATACGTAGAACAAAGTGCTAAAGCCCCGGCTAGAGAGAGAGAGACTACACCACCCTCCGCGACAGACACAGCGCAAAATGCGAAACGCAGTCTTGTGACACGCACCTGACCATGCAATGGGCGGCCGACATAACGAACCTACAGGCGACGTAAGTGCCTCCGCACGAGTGGCTATAGGGTCGGCGCTGCACCGAGACCTAAGAGGAATTGACTTTGAAAAATTCGGATTCGTCGAGTCCGAGTCGAGTCGGTTGCCACCTTAACCCTTGCGCCTAGCTCGGAATGCCAAGCATATTCGAGACCGTCTGAATCTCAATTTCACGAGAAATCTTCTCTCGCTTCCCTGGTGGAAAATTGTTCTCAGAATCCTTCACATAATTTTTCAGAATTTCGACATTATTTTCAGAAAAATGCTTCAAATATTTTTATACGAATTAGGATACCTTCAAAAATATTTAAAACGAAAAAACCTACAGCTTTTCTAGAATTTTTTATATCATTTGTGAATTTCATATTATTTTTTGTATTATTTGTGAACTCTCTGAAATAGTCTAAGATTTTTCTTTCTACGATTTCCAAAGAGAACATGTAAAATATGAAGTTTGAAGGATTTTTCGGAAATCTTCATAAATTTAAAATTCTTGAAAATATATTATGAGAATATGAAATGAAATGTGAGATTTTCATTAAGGAGTTTTAACATTTTTTTAAATATATGTTTACTCTCAATTTGTTAAATCGTGTTAAATCTGTTAAAGAAAGACGTTTCGTAAAATCTCATTCAAAGATACGTTTCAAATTATATCATATCTATTCTATTAAAACTTGGAATAGAATAACATACAACTTTCTATGCAACGTCAACTAAGACAACGCTTAACTATTTGGATTTTGGAAATTGAGATTTCCGGCTGTCTCGAAAGCATTCAAAGTTAGATCACAGTATATATGTACTGTGGTTAGATTGACACGAGCAGTTAAAGTGCATCAGTATACCGTCAGTACGTATCACACAAACGAGAAATTAGAAGTGCCGAAATTGCACGATGTAATCTAGAGCTTGTGTGTTTCTTTAATAAAACCGATATCTCTCTGATATTCAAGTTGGTCCTACACGTGAATACACTCAAAGCGTAAACTGCAAGATACATCAGTTAAAACTTCATTTCATCACATCATCGTCGAACGATTTTACTCTGTACTACCGGTTAGAAATTGAAACAGTTTAATTCCACGAAAGAGCGTTTAAAAGACTTTATAGGTCGTTCTCTCTGTTCGCGTTGAATCGCTAAACATTTCGCTCTGTCAACTTTCGGTGCTGATAAAACCATCCCCGACCTCGCAGAGTACACTTCGCGTTACTTCCACGTCATTGACGTCAGAGTCGTCATACTACGCACTCCGTGGAGGTGTGGGTGACGGTACCGATGTTCTTCGCAAAGGTGAAAGGTTAAGGGGCTTGTGTGCGTGAGAGAAATGGGCGCGTCGCACGCATACGCTAAATGGATAATTCTTGATGTTGGTGATCTCCCCGCCGACGATGCGCACCGCCGGCTTATCAACCGTAGACTCCAATGGCGTCGTGGTTGTTTCGACACCGGTCACCAGGGAAATCGGGTGGAGATACGGTATTAGGACCAAAACCGCGAAGAGTATCATGGCTCGCGTGCGAGCTACCGTAAAGGCTTAACGGGATCCTCCATTTTCTGTGCCACGCTCCGTCGACTTTTGTTTTTCTGCTAATTTATACCAGACTTGCTCTTCCTAGTCGTGCACCTTCTTACTTTTCCTCGGGCTAAATATAAATAAATTATCGTTGCGTTTCCAAGAAGCGTAGCTAGCCGCTGCTGGGAACGCTAGTGGCAATGAAATCGTAATATATCTTGCAAAAGATGAAAGTGGAATCTTATGTATGTATAATGAATGTATCGACGTGAAGTTTTCCAATGTATTGGCGTAAAGTTCTCCATTGGCAAATATATACTGACGTGAAGTTCTCCAATATAATTCTTTTTCATCATGACCAATGTAATTTTTCTTTTTTCACATCACGATCTTTTCCATATGTCCTCTCCCTTCCCCTACAAACTTCACAATCAATTTTATATGAAATTTGATATTGAAGGTGCAGCTAGAAACAGCAAATCTGTATAAATTTGCAATATGATCAATTTTTTTTCGAGCTTTTTTCGACATGCTAGAGTGAACGCTGAAACGACTAAAGATAACTTCATTAAAAAGTGAGATCGTTAAAAAAGACGACTTCTTTTCTATATTAGTTGTCAGTGATTGCGATTTTGCTTTCCGAGAAAAAGCATGTCGCCTAGCAGACTAAGATCTGCCTGAGATATTTTCTAATTTGCGGATATATGAAAAGGCACTTCTCAATTAAAATATCATTACTAAGCTTTCAAACTTCGCTTAGACGACCGATGCCTTATACGTCTTACAAGTACAATAAAAATTAAAAAGTAGTATATTTATTGCAAGTTTGAAAGCATGTAAGAATTTGCACGCGATTGGAATAATCTCGATTTTAGCAAATAGTCGCACAATCTGAAATATATGCATAAAAATTCATTAATCATAAATATATTCTTTACTTCTATAAAGCACTACATAGTCAATGTTTGTTCCCTAACGTTTCCACTTTCCTCTAACTATGACAATAAATTTATCATTTAATTAGTAATTTGCCGCTTTTTAATCTTTATATTTAATTGTAACTGAATTCGATCGCGCGATTGAGTACCCCTAGTTTGTAACGTCAGCTACAAGACTTACGTTCGTAAGATTCGATCTGTGAAGCTATCAAAAACTTTTTTAGTTAGATTAGTCGTCTAACTGGAGACGATGATACGTTCCCTCTGATTATCCTAATGATCAAGATTAGATTAGTACTCTAAAGCCTCGGAAAGCATCGTTAGCGTTCACTCTAACGTAAACGTTCTTATCATAACGTTCGTATCATAATCCTTTTAATATTCCAAAGTACCGCCAGCTCAGGTAGTCATACTAAATATACTCTTACGCTGCAGCCAATATGGCTGTTTAAAGTTGCTGGTATTTAGTACGAGTGCCGACAGCAAAGAGAAAGAGAGAGAAAGAGGATTATGATTTTTTAACGAGGAGGTGTGTCAATACACAGATAAGAGATAATCCCAAGCGCTTGGTTGTTTGGTGATAGTATCGGCATCAAGAGTTTTAAATCCAGTTAAAAACCACGTCGTATCGACGGGTAACGCGCCCAATAGTGTTCCAAAAAGTTTGGCCACAAGCACGGCCGTAATCGCTATTTCTACAGATGGTTGAGTCAGAGCTTGATCGAATCAGTTCGATTCGCCCTCTTTCGCAGTCTTTCGATCGATCTCAATAAGATCGATGTAACGCCTAACTATCTCTCGTAAAATTACGAAGAGATAAGTATATAATCACAAGATCTGATTGTACATTGATTGTAAATTCAAGCAAAGAAATTGTGCTTTATTGTTTAGTAATTATGTGTAATAGATCAGGTCATTATTGATCAAACTCTGACTCGAGTATCTCTAGTTATCTCTAGCTTCTCGCAGTCCTCTAAATGCCTAGCCGCTGTCGCGGTGTTTTTTAAGCTTGCTTCTTTAAAATACGCTGAAGGAAGTCGTAATGTAATACTGATTGTGAGTTGTACATCCCGTTTCATCGATATCCCTCAGTTAGTTATAGCGCGTGAAGTACAGATGAAGAATCGAAAACAAAAATGGCCTAAGTGAGCGATCTTGTGGTGTACTCGTTTATATTGTTATGTAATTTGTATTAAAACGATTAATTTAAATTAGAAGACAGTCCGATATTTCAACGTGTTCGTGAAATATTTCAATACGTGCAAAAAGATCCGAGTACCTTATAAGTCATTCATATTTTTGACTTACGCCATTCTTGCTTTAAATTTCTCTTGAATATATTTCCTACGGAGCGCTAAGCTCCGAATTACGGTGAAATGACGGTGAATGTTTGCTATAGTATCTATGTCCTATTATACGCGGATAAGTTGTCACTTCTCTAGATTATTGTCGGAAAATTGATCTCATCGCTGTGTGTGTTTATTACGAAACATCATGAAACGGGGCGTAATGTAAAAAGATTTAAATTATAAAAAAGATAATTTTATATCTACTGCGAATTAAATAAAAATCATCTTTCTTTATTTAATCGAGATTCTAATGGCTTGAACGATATATGGAAATATTGTAGAAAGAGCAAAATCTGTTAATGGAAAACTGCTATTAAAATCAGATATCCCCAAAGGGAAAAGTCTATTAAATCAATTCGACTGATATTAAAGTGTTTTTTATTCGAATACGAGTTTTTTTTTGTATAGCTTTTATAGAAATGTGCGCGCAGTAACAAGAATGTATTGCTAGCTTAAAAAACATTTTATTTCCCCAGCGGCGAGGCGAGACTAGATGAAATGTTATATTAACGCGTATCGGAAAACCATATCATTTTTTAAAATAAAATATAAATTACAGTTTGTAATGTATACATCATATGATATCTCGATAACATTTTAATATAGATCAAATTTTTATATAGTTAACAATAAAGCTATGTACGTTTTACTTTAAAACTGTAATAAACTCTTTTTTTTTTTCAAAGATACGTTAACTAATTCAACAATACAAATATATACATGTTCTGCTATAGAACAAAAATATCTTTGCGTAGCTCGATTTTTTTCTTTTCTAATTTAACTTTCAGATAATAATTTTCAAAATCCTATTATATGCACTCTATGATAAGTATATTCGAATAGTATTGAAGGAAGAGACATAGCTTTCCGACACACCTTGCCGAATGTTCGGACATTAAATTGTTTCTCATGATAATGGGATTGATATGTTTCGCGAGACAGACGACGCTCGTTTTATAAGCAATAATCGAAAATAGTTTGCGCACGAAGAAGCCGCGTCTATGAGTTTACAAAACTTCTGCAAAGACAATAAAACCGCTGCCCCCGTGTATTTCGATATATCGAAGGAAGACATTGTGATTGTTCGATCTTATGTTCATCGCCTTAACATCCTTACAATTAGATATGTTACAGCCGAATTATCCTAGAACAATTGACTTTTATTAAGGAATAAACTCGTGCATTGCGCTCAATATGCACAGTATTGTAGGTAGCGTGAGTTCTCGTATGAGAATCGCCGCGGAAGACGTCACATCCGCCGCTGGTATGATTTGCACTGAAACAAGTCGCACGGTACAAACATCGGGACTTTTACTTTTGTTATTGATAAATTGGTAAGAATAACAAAAAATATGACAGCCGCCCCCCTGAGGCTCATAGAAGGCAAAAAACACGTGGAAAGGTATAAAGTCCCGGAGAGCAGTCAGTTTTTCGCAGAAAAAATGTATATTTTTTTTATTTCCGATGTTTTTTAATAAAATAATCCGTATCTATCTTTATCTATCACTCTGTTTTCGACATCATGCATGTATTCAATGGTTAAAAGTTGTTCCTATTAGCAAATTCGATTGGACGCACTCAGTGCGCACTGGTGCACATTAAAGCCATCGTACCCAAAATAACGTAAAAAAAAGATGTGTTTATACGTAAACATAGAAATCAATTAAATCCTGAAATATATTTTATTGTATTATATTAGGTAAAATGTGTATTTTATAATTCGAAATATTTGCATTTCACTTTTATACTCAAATTAAATCAGTGTACAACGACTTTAATGTGCACCAGTGCGCACTAGTATTTCCGATCGAATTCGCCATACAGTCCACAGACTTCTCTATCTGTGTGTTATACATACGAAAAAGAGTTTGATATCTTATGAAAAAACTTACCCGACACCGTTTTTGTTTTAATATCGGCAAATTGCTCGTGGTGCATGGGAAATGCAGGTATTGTTGCCTGACAGCTGATCTCAAGATGCCCATTTTGGCCAGCGTGCAACGCGGAAACCTCCACCTTCAGTTTAGCAGTAGCGAACATCAGATGGTTCTTATTATGATATGTATGCGGATAGTGTGTCACTAGAGCGATATCCACCTGGTGGAAATCGATAATCAGAAAATTACAATCGGGCGAAGGAATATATTTCCAAAGCTACTTAAAAATTTAATTGCTCATAATTACGTGTAAGTTCGAGTTATTATATTATAAAAGCATGTTTTTGCAATATGAAAATATTTAAAAAATATTATTCTCTCCTTCAAACACAAGTAGTAATTTTCAAGGAACTTTGTCAAAAACGATCATAATAAACCAACCCAAAAAGTATTTCAAAGCTTGCAGAAATTTCTACTTTTCAAATCGGTAATTTAGATAACGACATGATTGATCTTTTACGAAGCTACACGGATAAGTGGACATCAATTTCAAAGTTTTTACGAACTTCACAAAGTTCCATGGCGTGAATTAAAATCGCACGTGAAAGCAGTTTATAATCTTTGCAAGAGTGAATCATTATTTTTAATTTGCATATTTATTAAGTGTTGTACGGTCTTTTTTCACTGAGTAATTTAACACAGAAGCAGAAAGCGTCTTTTTTATTTTGGCTTGCAGAAGATGAACAGAATAGCGCTTGAAAATAAATAGTCTTTAAAAAACGAATAGAAAGATTTAAGCTTCCTCTTTGAGGTGCACCTGTCATTTTTTTCGATATAAAAAAACTTTCCGTATGTAAATTTCGCTTAAATGAGACTCTAAAAATTAAACAATCAACACATGTTATCATTCAACTTGGCATATTTCCGAGAAACTAAAAATACTATAATCTTAACGTAATTTATGTCCTTTGTGTTCGAAATAACCACGTTAGGAAAAACAACGTTCGCTTGATTCTATCGCTGCAGATCCGTCGCGTATTGTGTGGAGGTTGCACCAGTTGCACGGTCGGATTTATGGTTCTTTATATGTTATGTATACAGCGTATATACATGACATACCTAGGTGCACTTTAAAAAGAAAATTTAGACCCTTTTATTCGTTTTTTACAGAATACCGAGTGCTACTTCGTCTTCCGTGAGCAATCAAAAAGCTTTGTAAAGTTCGTAACAATTTTGAAATTCGACAAAGTACCCCGCACAAAACATACGGAAAATGGATCCCGGTTAATTCGGATGAATTTGTAATATGTTGTAGTTCTGATCAAAAGTCTCCATCGGCACGAAGTAAAATAGTATATTCAACTCTAAACAGCGATTTTTTTTTGGCAGAGTTTGATGTACAATAACTCAAAAACTGTTCATTATTTTACTTCATACCGATGAAGACTTTTGATCAGGACTACAACATATTACAAATTCAGCCAAATTAGCCGGGATCTATTTTCGTATATTTCGTGCGAGGTCCTTTCCATTTGTGTATCTATATGTTGCTCCATAAAAAATCAATTAAATAGTTAAAAATTGAGCTATAAAGTAAAGACTTCAAGCTAAAACGTTTTTTGGATCATCACATTATGATTATTTTTGACGCTATCATCTTTAGAAAAATGTCTATTTTTGGGAAGCAGGATAGGTAATAAATTTATAATTTTTTGTGATATTAATTCTATTGGGCTAAAATGTTCAAGTATCGTAAGAGTAAAAAGCGATCAAAAGTGTACGTATAAATTCTTTAATAACAGTGTATCATTCGTAATTGTTAACTCGTCAAATAGATATTCTTTCTATCGGACTTGTTAAAATCGAAGTTGTATTTCAATCTCTGTTGTTTTTTACCTCTTCGCCGTTTATAAACCATGTTATATAAGGAACTGGATGTGCGGGCGAGGATGAACAATTTGCCTCCAGGCTTTCGCCTACTACATATACACTCTTCTTGAATGTAATTCTAGGATTATCAGTTTGTGGATCTAAAAAATATTATTAAAAATATATCGAAGATGCGCGGAGATGGTATTTAAAAATCTATGTCAATTTATGATCAGTTAAAATTTAGATCTTGACACTTATTCAATCTGAGAAATGTATAATATCTAATAATAATTTTCATATCAAATTATTGTGTTTGTTAGATCAATACTGATATTTTGCTTAGCACCTAAATGGAGCTGCTCAATAAAATTAATATAATTCAATACAATAAAACGACTAATGCCATTAGTAAGGAGATATATATGTCTATTCTTGTGTGTAAAGTTGACAATATCACTCACATATCACTTTCATGTGTACGGGATCAGCGCCAGCAGTATAAATGGGAGTTGTCATAGTGACTTCACAGGAATAAATGCCGGAAGCTTCGTAACGCACATTGTGCAATTTGATTGTCGTGCCATTCTTTGAAAACTGGAAAAGATTAGCAACATGTTAATAAGGATTATAACACATCGTGGTCAAGTGGAGAGTACGTCGTTTTAATCAAATTACATTCCATACCTACGTAAAAGAACACAAGTAATAAATACTGCATAAACAATTCGAGTGTGCATACAAAATTGTATGAAAATTAATTTTTCTCTCAGAGCATGATTTTATATTTACAATCTGTTTTGTACTCTGTAAGTTTAGTTATTTAATAAAGAAGAGTTTCGTTTTGCATAAGAGAATATAGAATGCCTTTGTATCGCAATATCTTTTTTTTAAACGAGTCATTCCTTTGCTTTTAAATATGTTGAATTTGATAATGAAGTGAGTGAAAATTATTTTTAAATGAAAGTTCAAGAGTGTGCTTCTACCGACTAGCTTTACCAGGATTTATCATTTATATTCCTTTTATCTAGTCATTACAATTATATCGAGTGGATGCACGAGCAAGGTGAAATGCTTTGAAAATACAAAACAGAACACTTTGGATAATGTAATTCAAAGTTCTAGCAAAATTGTTTTACCACTTTTGGTCCTATTACACTTAGATCATATCTGTCGCAAATATTTCGCTTTAAGGATCCTAAGTAGTCGCGGCGGCCATGTTGAAATCGTGACGTCAGAAGCGAGGAATGGCACGTTAATTTATGCTGCAAGCCATTTGTAAATAAAAACAATTTATAAGGATAAATCTATGACGAGAAATGCTTTAAAATACATGTAAAAACCGGTAGAATTGTCCTTTTCTTCCTTAATAGTTAATAAATGGTCGTAAAAGACAGGTAAAGTGAGCCTAATTTTGGACAGAAACACATGATTTGAATAGTTGTTGAAATGAATGAAATATACGCTTTTACGAATAAAATTTCAGGATAACTATAGTTTCTGCCCATTTTCAGGACTTCCATAAGTACAAGACTTTCACAATTGAGCAAATAATAACGAAATGGCATGTAGTACAAATTTCGTCGTTAAAACGTCACTTTTCCACGCCTATAAGTTCAGTCATTTATCGGCAAAGCGCTGTAACATACATACAAGCATGTATATGGGCTCGTGCTTGTGTGTGTGTGTGTGTGTGTGTGGCTACCAATTTCGTCACATTTCACCAGGCCGCCGACTGATTTTGAATCGCATGCTGACTACAAGAGCCTTAAAGGACACGATTAATCTCTATTTGGATGTGTTGAGGTGATAAACACCTAAATTATAGAAAAAAAAATTCTTTTCCTGTAATCAGATTAACAAGATAAAAAAATTCGAAAAGTTCAAGCTATTCATCACGATTTCTTTATTCTATTATTATGATTTCTTTTTTAGAATCATAGTATTCCTAAGGCACTGTGACTGGAAGGTCTATTGCATTAACTCAATTTCGTTATTAGTAGCTTAGATCTAATCATTCTTAGCGCCCTATTTGTTACGCGTATCTTTACCTACATCTTTCATGACGTACTGTAATAACTTTAAGATATCTCGGAATTATATATAACGCTGTGTGAAACAGTCGCATATTCTCTGTTATCAACAATAGAATTCTAATAGTAGCGAAATAGTCATCGAGTGTAAGTTCCAATAGTTTTTCAAAAGTTTCTATAGAAATAGAAAACTAAAGTAGAAAGTAAGAAAAGGAGACGATAAAAGTATATCCTAAAAAAAAAGGCAGATATTTATAAAAGAAGAAGAATTGTCGCGCGCGCGTGTAATCTCGATCGATTTTTTTCCCTCGAGAATAAAATGGGTGAAAATGCCAAGTGCAGGAAAGTTCCTCAGCGCAAAGAAAGAGAGAAAAGTGTTTTCGACACTTAACAATCGTTCGTCATCAGCGGCCTGAAACCCTCCGGCCGAATGAACGTTCTACTTCTGCCACGTGTAGCCTCATTATTAATGTGTTGACTCTACATACATACTGGCACAAGCAACTCATCCTCGTACGTTAAGGTATCACATATGGATTAGTACAAGTATTGGTTTTCCACCTTATCCCTTTTTTAATAGATCACCCATCTGCTGCGCGCTCCCATCGAAAACATTCACGAAGGAAATTGCGCTGCCACGCGTTACTACTCGATGTTCTCGGGGGGATAGGGAGAGTATTTTACGTAACGGAGTACATGCATATGTACGTAAATAGCTTTGCTTTGTGTCGATACATAAAAGACTGCGCCTTAGGTAAATGCGTTTAGCTTTGCTCGCTTAATCATTGGCAAAAGACAGGAGCGGACTCCGGATATTCAGCTTATACGTTATCGAGGGTGTCCTCGTTATTTTTGGATTTTTGTTTACTACAGTTTTTTCTTATAGAACGTACCGCAACGTGCGGGATAGATATATGCAGACCAAGTTGTATTTTTACCTGTCCACGTAATAATGTTAGACGACAGGTTAAAAAAAAAAGAGACATTTATTATTTCCTTACGTAAACAGGTGCGTGATGTAACGGTAAGTGAAGTGAAAAGCTTATAATAAAAAATAAATATTTGTTGCGAAGACACACGCATACATAAATAGGTAATACTTGAGAAATTAAAAAAAACAAATACTAATTTGATGCATAAACTTTGTTTGTAAAGGAAAGGATTATTATATATTTTCAAGATTCTGAATCTTACAGTAAAATTTTGATAAAGATGAAATGGCAAATGATACAATAAATGTACAGGGTGTTAGTTAAGTATGTTGTCATACTCACAGGGCGATTCTTTGGTTTATTTCAAGTAAAAAAGTCCATGTAAACATGTGTCCTAAACGGCTTAGTTTCCGAAATACAGGTGAATGTTCGCGAAATGTTTGGCGAAACGGTAAATTGCGTTGGATCTTCCTGTATAAATATGCCTTACTTCACGTGAATTGCCATTCGTACAACCGTAAATAAAGTGACAAAATCAAAGTCAAAGCCTCCTAGACCACTTAAGACTCACCAGATCACTTAAATCCTTTGAATTATTTCCTTTGGGAGCATCTGAAATCATTGATTTATACCACCCCAATTGAGAATGAGAATGATTTGAGGAATCGAATAGCTGCTTCATGCGAGGCAATACGTAACACATCTGGTATCTTTGAGCGTGTACGTCAATCTGTGAGAAGAAGGCTCGATGAATGTATCATGGCGCAAGGTGGACATTTTCAACAATTCATCTAATTGTTTTATTTCATCAGAAGAACTGAAGCCTGTTTTTGTTTTTCTGTTTTTGACTAGTTTTTGACTAGTTCAAGCTGTACTTCTTTCAAATAAACAGATTATTGCTACACGTTTAAATTTTTTTATTTCGAAACTAAACCGTTTAGGACATATGTTTATATGGATTTTTTTACTTGAAATAAACCAAAGAATCGTTCTGTTTTGAGTATGGCAATATACTTAACTAACACTCTGTATATACGTGTAAATATTTACTTAGAACATTGAAAATTAAACAGAAATCTAAAATAGCGCTATGCATGCAACATTATGTATATATGGATTTAAGATGTATTCTGAAAGGTTGAAATTAAATATCGCATATGTTGAATTGAAATTATTTTGCAATGCAAAACGTGGAAAAGATGTGGAAAATTTCAACAAAAGCGGTTACTCATTTTATTTCTTAATACACTTTCTGTCTAGACATGCTTGACTTTCGTTACAGAGATAGAAATTCGATTAACATTCAAGATTTAAAGATAACAATATAGACGTAGATATATAATTGTAGATTGAGATGCAAAGGTCGATGCCATCATTGCCATCAGTCTTGGCCCCGTGTAAATTTGACACAAATTTATGTAGACGTGTTATCGAACCTGCATGTCATGTTGCGGCACGACTGCGATGCCTTTGAGATAATTATGTACATCAAAGCGAAAGTCATAGTGTATACGTATCAGGGTAAAGCGATATTCAAAATATTTATGAGCTGTCAAGAATCGAATAAACCAGGTTTAAAGTTAATTGATGAAGTCAATCGTTGTCTCTTCCTCTTATCCATTCTGTTGGAACCCAACAGTTGAGTACGCTCGATAATTCGACTAATAGCAAATATAACGAAACAACAAGAGAACAAATTAAAAAGATACAAAAAATAATTAATAAGAAATACTAATTTCAAAGACCTTGTTGCTCTATTTCGCTCACCTCCATTTTGGCGCCGTCGATGAATACGGATTTGTCTGGGATATACGGCGGATTCCTCTCCTTAATGTACTGAAATATCCTCTTCTCGCCCTTCATAAATTCTATTTTGTGCAGCAAGTCGTCCGCGACAGTGTGATTGCACAGCAAGATGGCTGTGCTGCCATGCGTTACATACTGCGGCGCTATCAATTGCACGTTCATGTGATCCGCCAGTGTCGCGTCTGGAAATCGTGAAATCACCGTACGTATATACTACCGTGTATATTACCTCAATTCTGGCGACCGAATGGCCATAGACATTATCTACAATGTCCAACGTGAGCGGTATTAATTCTACTATTGGATGGTACTCGTGGAAATTGCGGGGCGCGATTAAGGGATGATTTTACGAGGTTTTTTAACGAACGTGAGTCGCAAAAAAATCCAAAAATACTAAAAGTTAAAAGTTTCGATGTATTTAATAGGAAATTGAGAGAAAATATCACATTACGCAAAATATATTGTATTTCCAAATATGTTTTAACAAAAGTTAACAGGACTCTCAATTAAAAAAAAAATAATATTTAAAAAAAAGAGAACTGAAGAGTGAGAGTCGAAGGCGAATTTCGGTGCGTAATATACAAAATAACAGTTATTTTAAACACGTAAGTTAATTAGACATTTTAGCTTAATTTTGAGCCACCTTCAACAAGTTAACAAATATTTGGAGATAACCTTATGCTCGCTACATAGAACATAACGCAATCCATCCTGAATGTCAAAAATAAATATGTCGGTCACAACCGATTGATAAGCCGGGTGATTAATGGATTCAAACAACAGCCAAGTGAAATAGAGAACGAGAGATTAAATTGATGCAAATAAATTGATTGCGTTACGTGGGGAGTGAGATTATCTACAAATATCTGTTAAGATATCTTGCTGAAGATAGTTACAAATTAAGCTGAAATATCCCAACATTAAACTTAAAATATTTAAAATAAATTTGTTTAATAATTTACATTATGCACTGAAATTTCCGTTTGACTTTCATCAGCCTTTTTTTTAAATTATTGTTTTTCAAATACATATTTTCCTATATTTTTAGACGTATCTCTACTAATAGCATATTTAAAATTTCGAATTTTGCAAATTTAGTCATCCATTTAGTCATCAATTTAGTCATCCAGATATTCTTACCTTTCACCGTAGTTTATAATTGATCGTCATTATACATTTATAATATTTTATGGGCTAAAAAGTACGATACTTTGCGAATAATTCAGGTATTCATTTTTTAAAGCAGTTCTTCTTTTAATTATTGTTTTTCAAATATATTTCTTTATTCTAAGATTTTTTTATACGTGAAAAGCCTAACTTTATATTTTTGTTATGTTTGTAATTTTATATTATAAAACCGATCAATTTTACGTTCCAGATATTTTCATGTTTTTATCGTCATTACATATTTATCGTTGTTATACATTTATGATATTTTGTAGACTAAAAGCTACGATATTTTGCGAGCACATTTAGATACGAAAGATTATTGTTTAATAAAGAATGAAGTGAGACTTTGAAACCGTAAAACTGTTCCTTGATGCTTCCCATATATTCTATGGTTTATGTGATATTCATTTAGAATTGAATTCGTCGGGGGTTAACTTCGAGGGGTGTCGTAACCTACAAACCTAGATAAGGTCACGTATAGGGTGTCTTTCCGTGCACGTAATTCTAAATCTCTTCTTGGGACCATATATTTCTGTTGAAATAAAATTTATCTGCAATTTACTGTGAAGAATAAGGTTCATTTCTGGCTATTTATAAAATTTCTCTATATAAAAATTCTTACGTTTGAATTTTTTTATAATAGTCGACTTTAACATTTTTGTAGCGATAAATATGAACTCCGAATTGCTCGTAGGATTTTTAAAACAAAACGACATATTCCTTCTACAGAAACAAATACGCGTCTCTTGTTTATTATATACCTTACTATATACATTCAAAGCTTTATTTATATTAAATAAAATATAACATAATAATAAGATTTAGAGAGAAAGAGAAGAAGAGAGAGAGAGAGAGAGAGAGAGAGAGAGAGAGAGGAGAGCAATTTGATATTTCGATTAAACGCTGTCAAGACCAGCAATCATGTTCCATTCGATTTTCATCGAACTGGCACCGACATGACAACGAGTCGACGGAGAACAGATTAATCTAGCTATTGCCAGGAATTGGAAGAACGGAGGGCCTTCGCGCGGCCGACTGTAACTACTTGTGGCAGTCCGCCCTGTTGCTGGGAGGTGTTACTGTATCGATCAGAATGAAAGCGCGCGTTACCGCCGCACGCATGGTATATTATTTCGAGACGTTTCGAGACAAGAGGCCTATTTTCGAAGTCGATCATACGATAATGCTAATACCACGCGATTTTCTACGCGTTTGTCCTGTAATATTTCAACGAGCGCTTAAAGCCGAACAACCAACTGTGTTACGAGTTCTTCGCAATTAGAATCGACCGATTTTTTTCTACGCGACATTACATTGACTGGAGCAGTGGTATAATCGCAGGAAATAGATGATTGATTTTAGAATCCATAAATATTATTTTATACTATTTTTACTTTGAGATAATTATTTTCTCTTTACGAATACATACTTTTACTTTGACATAATAAAATGATAATTTCTTTGCGATATCTCTGTTTATAAAGTAATTGATTTTTATATTAAGAATTTTCAAAGCAGCTTTTTCCTGCTTATTATTAAAACAAGAAAAGTACTTGTATCGAATCGTCCGATTTATATAGAAGAGATTGAATGCTTTATGTCAAAGATGAAAAATAATAAAAACAATAAGAAATCTTTTGAAAGCTTTCCTTTCGTAGGAAATGAATATAACGCTTTGATTTGTAAAAATTATACGCAATAATATATTTTATTCCTTTTAAAATAAATATTTTTATAAGTACTACGAGAAAGAGTTTTGAGACTGTTCAATTCGTAATATCTAAAACCGACACTTGGTTTCTCTTATGTAAATAACGTGCAATTAGGGTGAATATAATTGGATCGATAAATAGTCGAATAATTGGTTTCTGCAACAATGGCTTTTAAACTCGAGTTATGTGCGAATGAACCGAAAAAGTGATCGTATTTTTAGTCATTAAATTAAACTGATTCAATAACTTTTTTAATTTAATTCGATTTTGATTTTCATTCAACGCTATATACTTTCATCTACTTATAATTAGTCTAAATCAAAAAAGAATATTAATTTGAATATATTTCTTACTCTATATTACATTAGATCCATCAGAATTTATTTTCAAACTTTTTATATTTAATTATAATGCAGTAAAAAACAAATATTTGTTTCTATCTCGAATATAATATGAAAAATTTGTTTTTTTTTTATTTCTTTACGTAATAAAATATTTATAGTTCAATTTTACATTTAACATTTAGAACTGTCGACAAATAAATGTTTACCAATTTAAATATTATTATATATTTAATTTATCTCTTTTGACAAAAAGAGTTTTGTCAAAAAGTAAATTAATCATTCATTCGTTGTAACAAAATTCATGAAATATTTCCGGACATACATCGTTATAAACTTGTTAATTTTTTAAAAATTATAAATCGGTCAGTTGGATTGTTTCGTTAGTTTTAGAAAGAGTGTCTTACATGCGGTTTTGAGATGTCATATAATTATTTTATTAGCTGGATG